TCAGCTGGGCTGGCTGCAGGCAAGGCAAATGTCCTACCACTGTGCTATAGCTCCAGCCCACAAATAGGCATACATAAAATTAAAATGGTTTAGGGCCATAGAGATAGTATAGTGGGTAAGGTACTTGTCCTGTATGCAGTTGACTCTGATTTAATCCCTGACACTGTATATGCTTCCCCAAGAACCACCAGGAGTCACCTTTGAGCACAGAGCCAGGAGTCAGCCCTGAGCACCACCTATTGTGGCTTAAACCTCACCCAAATTAAGTAAAATGGAAAACAAAATAAATTAAAAGGTTTTGTTTGGCAATGAAAACCTGAGATAAAATTTAAAAACTTAATTGAGTAGGAGAAAATATTCCCACATCATACATTAGATTAAGAATTAATATCAAAGCTACAGAAAGCACCCACAAAGATCAACAACAACAGAACAATAATTCCATCAAAATATTGTGAGAGAAGATAGAGAGGAGATGTAGATGGCCAGTAAGTATATTGAAAAGTGTTCATTATCACATATTATCATGAAAATACAAATCAAAATTTGATTGACAATTGACAATGAGAAATTATCTCACACCAATGAGAATAGCATATATCAAAAAGACTGGAAACAACCAGTGTTGTAAATGTGGTAAAAATGGAAAAATGGAACTTTCATCCAATGTTGGTTAGAATGTTGATTGGTTCAGTCTCAATAAAAAATCATCTGGAGTTGTCTCCAAAATAATAAGAATAGAGTTTCCATATGAGCCAGTGTTTCCACTTCTTGATATTTACCCCCCAAATACAAAATCATTTACTGAAAAAGAATGTGTATACCTATATTCATTAAAGCACTTAGTAAAATTGCCAGGATATGGAAACAACCCAAATGCCTGACAATAAGTGAGTAGATAAAGAAACTGTAGTATGTATGCAAAATGGAAAATTCTTCAGTTGGAAGAAAAGATGATGAACTCTTGTAGTTTCCTGGAAATGGGATGTTACTGGATAGAATTATTTTAAGTGAAATAAGTCAGAGAGAAAAGGACAAATGCTAGATGACCTCACTCTTCTGTGGTATATAGAGAAACCAAAGGAAAAATTGACAGTATTTTTTAATTAATTTATTTATTGAATCACCATAAGAAAAGTTACAAATCTTTCAGGTTTAAGTCTTGGTCATACAATGATCAAACACCCATCCCTTCACCAGTACATATTTTTCACCACCAAGAACCCCAATATACCCCCCATCCCACCTCTCCTGAGGCAGATGATTTCCACTTAACTCTCTTTCTACTTTGATTACATTCATTATTTCGACAAAAGATGCACCATTTTTATTTGAAATCTTCCCCGAACAATCAGACCTGCTGAAAGGCATTGTGAAATAATTTGTTTTCTATTGCTGGTTATGAAGACCATATGATGTCCTTTGTGGCTGCATGATTTTGGATTTCTGATATTTTACTAATTAAGTCTGGGGGGATTTCTACCAAAATCCGTATAGTTACGAGATTGGTTTGTGTGCCTCTGGGGCCATGTCCAGGCCGGAGAGCCACTCGTGGGGGCAATTCTTGGGCAGAAAGGACGTGCTGGTTCCACGCCCCATCCTATGAGGCCGCAGTTGCCCCATCACTGCCAGCTCATACCTGACTGTCCAATAAGCTCTGAGGCAGCAGCCACCATGCTGTCTGATGGGGGAGGGGGGATTGGGGAAGGCAGAAGAGACAGACACCCTTTTCCTCCCAGGGGAGCATGGCACCATAGTTCAATGCATAGTCCATTCACATTTCTGCCAAAAGCTGCTGGGCTCCAAAGTAGGTCTGTGTGCCTCTGGGGCCATAGCAGTGCCAGAGAGCCGCTCGTGGGGGGCAACTCTCAGCCTCAGTAGGGCGGGAAGGACATAAAAATTGACAGTATTAAATCATAGATATATGGATAGGAAATCCCAAACATAGCTATCTGGTCCGTATCCATTCCTGGCAGTGTGGATCTGATGGATTATTGTTTGGCTCAGTGGTGTTTAAGTACCATCAAGCTCACCCCAGCATCTTTTATGGGTTACTGAGATCCATATATGATAGTGCACAGGGGGGCCCAGATGGTGCTGGGAATTGAACTCAGGATCTTGCACACTCTAGACTCTCTTCCACTTGAGTTCTCTTCCCAGCCCCTCAACCAAATTAAGTTTAGTAAAACAAGCAAAAGCACCAAACACAAAAGGTATATATTTTTGCTAAAACAGGTGCATATTTTCACTGGAACGAGTCTCACCAATGAGAATGCAGGACTTGTGACTGAAAACTCCAGGCTCAACGGAACTGGGAATAGGTGACCTTCCCTCATACCCCCCCTATTTCTGGCAGATTGGCAGTCACCCCCACAAACTGTCCCCTGACACCATATAATCTCATTAATGGTCATGATCCAAAGACTCAATATAAATCTCTCAGAAGAGAGCACAGAACAATACGCCATAGCCATGCCACCAATCCCCAGGCCAGGCTGTTTCATTCGGGGCACCCCAGAGGGGGCTAGTGAGAGCCCTCACCACCCCAAGAGACACATTCCCAGCAGCCAAAAACCTCCAGAACTCAATCCCGCCTTGCTCACAGCCGCTCTCCACACGCTCGGGCCAAGCCTTGCCCACAAGTAAACCTATTCCTGGACCTCTCATATTTTACACCACCAATATATGAAGAGTAGTGCACCACATTTGATTGGGTTTAAAGTAGAAGGCAACAAATCTTAGGGGGAAATGTGTTTATACAGATATTGATATAAGCACACAAGGCTCAACTTTTAATAATATGTTACTAATCTCTTACAGAAGGGCTTAATGGCTCCTGGGTGAAATACAACAATCGTCACACACTTTCCTCCTAGAAACCTTTTTTGTCTCATTTTAGTGGATTATTCATAACGAACAATAAACAATAAATTATTTCAGTTCTGCTTTGGGGGCAGGGTTTGGGATTCGGGATGAAAATATGGTAGTGAGAGACGTAATGGTGGTGGGATTGGTGTTCATATGTTAAATGTAATCAAATATTGTGGACAACATTATACACATAAAATAATATAATATGTAGAATATTAAAAAGAAGAGAAAAATAATAGTAAAATAAAGCAAAAAATAAAAAATAGGTGCATATTTTTATTCCTTTCCCCTCAAACCACAATGTTAGAAAGTGCCAGAAGAAGTGGCTTTAAATATTTTTTGCACTATTTCAGTTCTTATTGCAGTCATACAAATTAAAACCCATTTGGGGTCACTTCAAATAATTATCAGCATCACTCATAAAAATGGTACATATTTTGAACCAGATGGCTAATGTATATTTAATAAAAAGCTAAAATCATTTGAAATTACATTGTAATTATAAAACAAGTCCAAATTGAACATTGCACATACACCAGATATAGCCCTACTTTATCTCCAGTCAAGAATTTTCTACAATGCTCAGCATGTTTCCATTCAATCATTCAGTATTCTTTTTAAAGTACCCAGTTTTATACTTATAGAGTCAAAGCTTCATACCAGAATTTCACATAATTACATAATGTCAGAGGAAAACATTACTTCTTAAATTGATAAGTTGAGTGGCTAAATATTGAGGTATACAATGTCTAGGGCTTTCATTTTCTACTTAGCCACAAACCAGAGCTCCACCAAAGACAGCATATTGTATTCCTCAAGATAATAGAGTTGTGCCCATAGACTTTTGAAGTACAAACTGTGGATAATGGTTGCTCACTAAGCACTGGTGCATTTACAGGGACTCTTGTTTTATGACGTTCAGTTGAAAGACAGTGGAAATTGTCAAATCAACAACTACAATAGATTATAGTCTTTTTTAATTAATTTATTTTTTTATTAGTGAAACACCATGAGGTACAGTTGTAGACTTACAGACTTTTGTGCTTGGGTTTCAGTCATACAATGATCGAGTACCCATCCCTCGACCAGTGCCCCTTCTCCACCACCAATGATCCCAGTAGATTATAGTCTTTTATAGTATGTTTATCTTCATCTACTGATATTTCCTTGATTTTCAGAAGGAAATTCAAGGGAAGAAGAAAGAGGCACTATGTAATTGTTAAATATCAAGGAATCAATAGTAGGTTACTTGAAACACCACAATATAAAAAGATTTGTGACATTTTTGCTTAAGGAAAAGAAGCATGGCAAAATAAGAGGATAAACATGGTGACCATGATGTTGGTCAGCAGAGGAGATATGAGTAAATTAACTACAGCAGCATGTTTAAGCTCATCAGGGAATGCCCTTAGCTATGGAAAGCTCCTGCCTATTTTGGGGAGTCTTACTCTTACTGCTCTTGCTCATGAAGTGGCTGCTCAAATCTGAAAGGAAGAAATTATACATTCCAAGAGCAAGCTAAAAAAGAATCTACCTTATTTTTTTTCATTCTAAATAAAAGTCCCATTGTTTGACAATAAGAATGAAGCTAATATTTTGACATTTAAAATCAAACCTTAATTTGATAGCCTGGCAAGCTCCCTGTGACATATTCGATATGCCAAACAAAGTAACAACAAAGTCTCACAATCCAGACGTTACTCGGCCCACTTGAGCAAATCGATGAACAATGGGAGGACAGTGACAGTGACAGTGATCATTAAGAAACTAACATCCCGGTATTGAACACAGGTAAAAGAATCTGGTATCTAGAAAAAGTAAGAAAAATACACTTAAACTGGGCCTTGTCCCACCTACCATCCTATAAACAAACAATTCAATACATTCCACAAAGATGAATAACAAGGATTCTGCTAATGTAGAGAGCGCTATTGAGTGAGACCAGGTTGTAAAAACACAATTGCAGAACAACTCAAGAAAATGCATGCTTATACTTAGAGGTACAAAGGTATAGCCATGCAGAGAGGGTACTAACTATAAGGTTTTCAGATCAGCCAATGTTTTCAAATATGTTTTCAAAACATGACTCCTGAATTCACAAAGTTCCTGCTTTTCCTTGTCCCTTTTAGTGTTTACATATCCAGAAAACGGAGCTGATGATTTTGGAGACCAAGCAAAGAACATAAACCACCAGGTATTTATGGAACTCACAGAAGGGATCGATCCCTGCAAAGCAGGTCACCACTAAGACAGTCATGAAACCAATTTAGTGGATACCAGGCTAGAATTTTCAGAGAATAAAATAAATAATACAATATACTGTATCATAGCATAGATTGCGTGGAGTAAATAAAAAGTTACAGTGCATCAAAGACAAAGAGGGTAAATATTATTCTGTATACATCGCTTCTTTACATGTTACATATGGTTTTATATGTATCCTATAGTGTATAAACAATATCATTGTTATGACTATTTTTAGTATAAAATGCACATCACATTTGCAAATTTAATATAATTAGAATAGATTAGAATTGAAAAGAATAGAATGATACAGCTTAAGTTACTTCAGTTTGGATAGCAAAATAAATCACAAATAAGAAATGATATAGTTGTTTGCAACTTTTGTTTGTTTTATATATAGGACCTAACTATTCAATACATTAATTATATTACAATGTAATACTACATATTACCAATCATGTTATGTGTTTTTAAATGTACTCCTTATGTTAAAAATTATAAACCTTTATATAGCATTAACATTACTTAATATACTTGTATATATCAGTTGGGGATGATAAAAAATCTAACAAACAGAACTGGTGTGAAGTTTGAGTATAATGTGTAAGCCATAAAAACTGGTAGTTATGAAGGAAAAGCACTTTGGGCCATTCTTGGTGGTGCTTGGGACTAATACCTGGCTCTGTGTTCAAAGTCACTCCTGGTGGCCACTTCACAGTGCTCAGGGAACTACATGTGATATCAAGAATCAAACCAAGGCCAGCAGCATGCAAGGCAAGATCTTTAACCCTTGACCTTCTCTCTGATCCCCGAACTGGTGACTTTTATTATCAATGTCTGACTGCCAATAGATGTAAGCTAAAATAATCTGATGCCAAAGTTTGTGCTTCAGATTTTTCCACAAGTAAATGAACTAATAGGTGAATATTCCTGGTTCCATCTGATATCTTATACACAAAATTTTAGGCTAATTGATAAAAAGTCCATTAAAAGCAGTGGAATTTTTTTACTATCCACATTCCCTTCTTTTGAGAGTCTATTCCCATTCTTGGGGTCAGACCTCTGTACCTTTCATGAACAATATCAATGAAAAAAATTATTGAAAAAAATTGCAGTATTTCTGTCATTCTACATAATGGTTTTTAAGTGGTTTATAATAAAGTCACACTCAGCTAACAAATTAAAAATACATCAATGGTTGAAGTAAGTGTTTAATAAGAGTTAGCTGTTTTAACTTAAGATTTATATACCAGAATTACAATAGCTTCTCTAGTTCCTGTTTTCGTTCTTCTATCCAATTTGTCCTCCTTCTTTCTCTCATTTTTTCTTTCATTTTCTTTTTTTAGGGATCTCTTTCCAAAGACCCATTACCAATGAACACCTATGTTGCCTTGTACAAATTTGTACCACAAGAAAATGAAGATTTGGAAATGAGGTAAAAACAATTGTATAAAAATACAAAAAGAAAGAAAAGTAGAAGAAATTTTATTTTATTATTATTATTATTATTATTTTATTTTGGGTCACACCCGGCTATGCACAGGGGTTACTCCTGGCTCCGCACTCAGGAATTACTCTTGGCGGTGCTGGGGGACCATATGAGATGCTGGGAATCAAACCCGGGTCGGCCACATACAAGGCAAACGCCCTACCCACTGTGCTATCACTCCAGCCCCCAAAACGTCAATTCTTTTCCTTGTGTAAAATTTCTACTTGTGTTACCTAATTTCAGAACAGTGATTCTCACACTTTTGTATGCATCTAATGAGCCTGAAAACTGTGTAATTCAGAATGCTGAACCCTGTCAGAGGTCTGAGTAAGATTTAAGAATTTGCATTTCTCACTGGTGGGTGGGGGTACCAGTGCTACTCCCCTGGAGTCCCACTTTTAAGTGCATGATTTTAGCACATCCTTTTTTATAATTTTTAGGAAGGTTGAGATCAGATGCAGTTGGCTTGTGGTGGGATCTAACTAAAAATCAAAAATGCACTTAATCCCCAAAATAGCATCATGGGTCTAACTAGAAATCAAAAATGCACTTAATCCCCAAAATGGCATGATTTTAAAAAAATCAATCTCAGATTTTTTTCCTGCCAGATACTGGCATCGGCCCATCTCCCACCTGAGTTATGTTTTTGTTTGAAATATCATCACAGTTAAGATGGTAAATGCAACACTGGTAGGGCAATGGGCCACACCCAACAGTGCTCAGGTCTTACTCCTGTCTCTATGCTCAGGGATCTTTCTTTCTTTCTCTTTTAATTGAATCACCATGAGATACAGAGTTGTTCATGATTGGGTTTCAGTCATACAGTGGTTGGTGGTACTTGAGCGAAGTCAATCCCATCTTCACAGCCTACTTATTATCTGACCTCGAGCAACTTATAAGTGTCTCCTTACTCTGATTCCCCTATAGTAAAAGCCTCCTCCTTTTAAGGGAAAATGTTTTCAACTATCTAGCTTTTTACAGACAATTAAGCTCTTATTCTTCAGAGTGAGGGTGAAATGGTCCATGTTCATGAAACGTACAGAACAATGCTTAGTTGTAAACACTTAGTAACTGGGAGTTATTGTGATTTTTATAATGGAGTATTCACTGGACCATCATATGAAGGAGGCTCCTCCTCTTTCCTCTATTCAGTACTCCAAAATATTAGTAACCCAGGAGAAGGCTTTGGTGTTTTCCACCATAGAACAAGATAAAGGGGACCACTTTTCTAAAACATAAAGGGGCCCTTGGAGTCAAATTCTTTCTTCTATTGAAAAGAATAGATAAATGAGCCATGAAAATCATTGAAATGCCAGTGCCTTAGGGAGGTTGACTCCTTTCTGGCAAGTCTTCATTTGCCTGAATGTCATGCAGAACAAGTTATCAGCCACCAGTATTTCCCTGAATTCCTCTTTATTCCCTATATAACTACTTGAGCTTCTTCCTAAGTTTCAGCTACTGTCTTTTCTACCATGATACCTACAGTACTTCCCAAATATGGTTTCTCATAAGTGAAATCAAACACAGTCTCTTCCACTTTATCCAAAGTCTCTAAAACAGAAAGGATTGGGCCAAAGTGATAGTACAGGGGTTAAGGCATTTTCTTCGTATAGCTCCAACCCCAGTTCAATCCTCAACACTGCATATGGTTCTCCAGTCACTGCTAGGAGTGATCCCTGAACACAGAGCCATGAGTAAGCCCTGAGCACCAGGTGTGCCCCAAAAGTAAATAATTAAGGAGAAGGCTGCAAAAAAACTCCAATTAAAGACCCTATTCCCAGGTGTTTTGATGCCATTGCTTCAACCTCAGCAACTCAACTCCCTCTCAGGGTGTAACCTCCAGAAAGTCTCCATAGCAGATGTGTGTATCCCACCACAATCTGACAATGCCTTCTGATTTGCTCCCAAGGATATCTTTGTCCCAGAAGTCCTTTTCTAAGTTTTAGGCTATTCCAGTGCAAAGTTTAGGGCTTGGCCTATAGCTCCTAAGATGTGTGCAGATAACTAAGTTCTCATACACTTAAGTGTTCTCCATCATTGAATAAGTCTCACCATGCTAAATTTAATGGCTGGGGCTGTAAGCACCAACTTAAAAGACGCACATTGGTGTTGAAGAAAGAGATGATCTTTATCAAGTAGATCCCTGTCTTACTAGAGATTAAACAAGCCCTGCAGATCAGAGGTTCTTCTAAGGATTCAACAGTGGGATGGTGCCTTAACTCCAGCAGATGACCCATTATTACCACCTGTTGATGAAAATAATGTTTAATGTTGGCATAGTTTACTTTGCATAAGTATAGTATATTAGATTCTTTTGAGATTATCATTTGGGCATCTAGACTTCAGTATTACACAAAGTTTATTATTCAGTTCTCACAATTTTACAATAGAAGTTTATTCTGAAATCATCAGATGAAAAATAAAAATCAACAATTCTAGAGAAATATATGATATTATTAAGCTACTGAAGAATGGCATCTAGCTACTTGGTAGTGATATAACTTTTTTGTGCTTATTTTAGTTGGTCGCAGGCCATTAAAAGTCAAATTGTCTGGTCACGAATCAAATGTTTACAGTCTGCTTCAAGGCAAACAGGACTATTCATCCCTAGGAGTGAAATGTCTGCCTTACATAGACTGCAAGATTGGAGTAATAAATCATACATCCTTTTTTCCTTTTGGCAAGCAATTGTAGATTCCATTTTAAAAGCCAGGCATTTGATTTAGAATGTATAAGGCAATGCTTTGGGGATTTGGTGTAATTCCTTGAATGAACTGAGGCTTTGTGAATTAACTTTTACTCCTTGGATCATAAGTTAGAAAATTTTTCTTAAAAAAACAAAAAAAAATAGCCTACTTACCTGCCTGCATTCTGGTTGAGGGGCTTATACTGAGCATTGTCCTCAGGAAAGAGAACAATGAAAGTGAAGTTAGGGGATATTAGGCGTGAACTTGAGGGCACATCAAGCCAACTTGCAAAATCAGGATTCATAGTTCAAAGCAGACTAATCATTGCTTCCACAAACACTCATTATATATCCAATCAATAATAAAATCTTTCTGCCCACATTAACTTGAGTCCACACCTCCAGATTTCTAGTTCTACCTTCCTGTCCTAGAAGCAAATGGTGCTCCCCACCCAGTTCTCCCCATGTTCCCACAGATCTGCTCTTAGAATGAATAGAATCACTCTTTCCAGGCTCAGAGCCAGTCACCACAGGCTTCCTATTACCTTAAGCCCAATATACACTTAATGTTCAATCCTTTACGCAAAAGCTACGACATCCCTCCCTCCCTGTGTCTGCCACCTGGGCTGTTGCACTAGGCACTAACTGACCTCTGTGTCTCTAGTCTGCCCCCGTTCTTCTCTTCCCATCCATTTCATGTAGAGAAGACACCAAGGTGACATATCCTAGAGAGTGTCTAATGCAGTTGCAAACCAGACTCTCTCATTTCTGCCCTCGGGTATATTCCCTAACTTGTGCTCTTCAAGCTGGTCCATCTAGGATGGCTGTGACTCACAAAGCTGACAATATGGGGTTGGCAGGAAAGGAGCTTCGTTGTGTTGCTCCAATCACTTCTGTTCATGCTCAGGAGTAGCTGCTTTATTTTCAGACTTAAGAAAATGAAAGAGACAAAGAGCACATGGATTCACTGAATCCATGAATAAAACTATTGAGAACAGAAATGGTAGGCATCCTTGATCCTGGGCTTAAGTTCTAGCCAGGCAAAATATCAGCTGAAGCCCAGAAAAGTGACACAAGCCATTTAAGCCTCTGGATTCTTCCCTTGTAAAAGGAAAACGTTAGTTATGCCTGCATTAAGTCTGCTGTGATACTTATACTGTATCTTTGGTTAAAACTCTTGGATGCCCTCCTATTACCTTTGGGGAAAAACCAGGGTATTACCGGACCTCCAGGACCCTCACAGTATCATCCTTGGTGGCCGTCTGCTTTGTATTGCATACCTTTTTTCACATATAGCACATCTGCGCATGCGCACGCACGCACACACACACACACACACACACACACACACACAATTGCACAATAGACTATTATGCACCCACTGGATTTCAGCTCATTTTTTTCCCTTCCCTTACCTGATACTCTCAGGTGAGAGTCCTCTGTCACAGATTTTTATGATGTCATGTCTGTCCTTCAAAGTTCACATCTTAGTGGTATTTATATATTTTCAGAATTATTTAATTAGCTTCTGTCCTCTTATAAATTCATTGTGAACAAATCTCTAACACCTAACCCTTTTCTCCCTGGAGCACAGTGAATGAAGTTCTTGAAACACAGATGCTTAATAAATATTTGATGAATGAATGAATGAATGAGTATTGTGAGGATTCAATGAATTATTGCTGCTATGCTTAGCACATGCAATTAGTGGAAAATCAAGTTCAAGTTAATACAATGGAAACCTTAAAATAAAACAAAATAAACCTAGAGAGGTAGCTAGAACCTGTTTTCTGGAAGTGATGGGCTTGAATCATCATGAATAGTTTTTGTCAAGAAGAAATTACAGGAAAGGAAACCAGAAGTAACTCATGGTTACATTCCTAAAGAACAGGGATCTTAGTCAACTTGGAATAATTCACAGTTATTAAGAGGGGGAAGTAGGTCTCAAGATAAGGGACAAAGTATTCCTCCTTTCTCTTTTTTTTTTTTATTAGTGAAACACCATGAGGTACAGTTGTAGATATACAATATTTTGTGCTTGGGTTTGATTATACAATGATCAGATACCCATCCCTCCACCAGTGCCCATTTTCCACCACCATGGATAATATGCCCCCCACCCCCATCCCCTCATCCCCCCCTGCCTCTGTGGCAGGGCAATCCCCTGTGTTCTCTCTCTCCTTTTGGGTGTTATGGTCTGCAAAAGAGGCATTGAGTGGCAAACATGTTCAGTCCATAGTCCACTTTCAACATGCATCTC